TTATACAAAATTCTATTAACATATGAATATTTTTAATGATTTCAAATTTCCTTAAGAAACTCGTTCGCAAATTATACTCAATGTTTTTAAAGAAGTATTTCCTCAATATTTGTCATAAATAGACCAAAAAAAGGAAAACTTGTGAGAATTCAGTTCTGATTCGCAGTGTTCCGATTTAGACGTGTTCTAAACGATTTCGGAAAGCGATCGGATAATCATACCTTCCTCAAGGCACTGAAATCCCATCGAGCAAATCCTCCTGGGAGATATCACGAATTGCGGGGCGGAGCTTAGAAGTCTCGGTCATAGAATAGAAACCGATTAAGCGAAACAACCAACTGGCTACACCTGTTGATATTTCCCTAGCCACTGTACATACATCCGTATCCTCGTTCCTACACGTGAATGAACTGTACACGTATAGATACGTGTAGAACACGACGCTTCTCAACCCTTGCGTCGGGAGGTAAATGCTTAAAAAAAGTATACACCATGTTTCGTATTAATTTTACAATTGTTTTTCAACTTGTAATGGCATAAACAGTTACCTTCAGAAATAAAGCGATAAGTAACCATTTCAGTAAGTTGCGTAAATCATTTTAAGAACATAAAATTAAATTCTGAAATTTTTTAAATCACAACGTGAAAACTGATTATTGATTAGATATTTTCCTTTAAATCTGACAATCGTTGATACTATCATAACGAAGAATAGCTAAATATTTAAACATGATTATTAATGATCGTAATAAATTACTTTCATTATTCTTCGTCGAATGTATAATTTAAATAATAAATGAACTATCGGTGTTCCAATGCTGCAATCATGTAAAATCAACCTTACAAATTCAATTTCCAGTACTTTCAATCTTCACCTTCAGAGCGTAAGTTAATTGAACCTGAAAAGTCGATGTTGCTCAAGTACAATACTCAGGCTGATGGGATGCAATTCTGTTATGCTTTTAACAACAATCGTCTAAATAACGAATTAACTCGTCCACTCTAGATAATGACAAAAGAACGGAGGAACACACGTTGAAAGCCAACGTGTCCGTCTCGTTTCTCTCGATGTAACATGCAATTCGACCGACCGATTGCATCGAAACTCGTCGCTAACAGCGGGACTGGTGTTCCGAATTCATTCGCCACGTAGCCTGGCCGGTGCGGCGCAAGTCTAACAATTTACCGAGTTACTCGCCACGGATTTGACCATCGCTGCGGAAGCAATAAGGAGCAAGTTCGACTAGTTTTCGCACACGACAAGACTCAAACTGTAGACCATTAAACGTCGAATCGATTCCCAGGAACTTTGTTCAATGATATTGATGTCATTTTGGAACGGAAATGGATGTAGATGATAGATTCGAATATGTTCAATGCTTTTTGAGAAACAGTTTTCAGTTTGTGATACCTCCGATCCTTCCAATACTTATTTAAGATACTTAATGAAAGTTGTTAGATAGATTATTAAAAGTAACACTTCATGATTGTATTATTTTATGAATTAAATCTAACAGGTAATTAAGGATTTTAATAAAACAATGAACAGGTACGAATGGTTACCCGCAAAAGTCGTTTGTTTTAAAGAGCCTTTTGAAATTAAAAAAAAAAACACGGGATCCCATTAGCAATACAGCAAAGCGAACACTTTAGCGCATTGACCCTCGCGTTAACAATCTCCTTTCTAGTATAGCAGGTATTATCATTACTGGCTTTTTCTACTGGCTGACTTTTTCCTCGCTTTACTACTTTCCATCCGCCAGCGCTTCTCTCTTCTCTCACTGCCAACCTATAGCTTGGAAACCAATATTTTTCTTGCCCCGTCGAAACAGGTTGTTGATAAGAGTTTCCAATTTAATTAAATCAAAACAATGAGTCCTGTCCTCCTCTAGGTTAATTTTATCTTTAAACAATTTTCGTTTTAAAATTTAATTTGATAATTTAAATGCTATCAATTTTTATATTTGTAAATTATGTTTATTAGAATTAGAAATTAGAAAATTGATGTTTGATATAATTTAATATATTTTATTCACTTTTTGTGGTATGGTATATTTTATATTTTTTGTAGTATGACATTTAATAGTATGTATGGATTTAAAAGCTGATTGTGAGTGGTAGATTTTAATATCGTAGCTCGTCTTTAATCTATGTCTTTTTTAATTAGCATTAGCATTCAAGGGGCTTACTTATTAAAATACCCTTCGTTTCGCGATTGTTATAAAATAAAATTTCAGAAGCTCTATAAGACTTGGGTTCTACTTAAAAGCCAAATTCCTCATAGTTATTGGATATATCAAATTTGGTTTACACTATTTATGTGTAAAGAAGACTATTGTTACTTGTTTGGTATTGTTATTCCTTTGGTAACTGTTGATGTTTATAGTTAAAAATGAAAGATTGGTAAAAGGTTTGCATATATCTAAATGAATCATAAGGCGAAATTCAAAATCGTTACTTATTTTTAAGATCGCCTTAAGCATTTCCTATCCCTGTCTATCACATATTTCCAATCCCTGTTTTGTACAGGAAACAGGGACTTAATAAGAATAAGCAACGACTCTGAATACCGCCCATAGACACATATGAGGCACTTAGTAATACATAGTACTATACACGGATATAGAATGCCGGCCAATATCCCATGAGAAATACAAACAGATAGTAACAATACATTGAACTGTGCTATGTACGGAACTGATTATGAACACGGTATTGTACCATTATATTACGCTACCATGAAATTATACCTGTGTTGATTCATCAACCGGCAGCTACTTTGTCGCGAATTTACAATCACTATTCTTCTGAACTCCGTTATCACTCGACATCCATCTACTTTACTGAACTCCGCTATCACTTGAGACCCATCTACTATCTAGATATCTATAAAAATGTTTTAAATTCCGGTGATAAAGACGGATACAGAAAAAAACTGAACAAAAATTTAACTCTAATAGAAAGACAGGATCGTTATCCTGATCACAATATATTAGGTCATTTCGACATCATTATGCGAAAAATAAGACAACTAGTTCATTTTTATTAAAATTATGTATTTTCCATAATTCGTATCATTCATGTGAATAGTAATTAAACAACTTAATGCAAAATACGTGGTGCAAAAAAAGAAGAGCAAGAGAAGTAGAAAATACATATATTTGTTTATGCTAGAATTATATAGATATTATTCAGTTGGTTGGAAGATTATTAGTTACAAGGTATATGAGCTTGGCTTGGCCTTGGTTACGTAAGGAAGGAAATATCGCCGCGTAGCCGATTAGAATTCGACATCTGACTTCTAAGCAGTACATTTCGCCTGTTAGACATTGTCGTCTTAAGAGATACGTACTGCCTTAAGCCTCAACTAATTAATCATCTATATATGTTTATATATTACTACTTCATACTTACCGTTAAATAACGAAATAAAACTTCACATTTATAACACAAGAAACTTATTAATAAAAAGAGGAACGTAAAAAGACCTCTGAATTTTGACGATTCTTCGAACCGAAAGCCCATTGAAAAAAAAAACACCTTAAATGTTGTAAACATACAAACTGTTCTTATTCGAACGCCAATCTGTAAAAGATGATGGGATTATTTTCAAATTTATTTAGCGACATTTCTCGGCTTTTCCAGTTTCAGATACTCACTCGCCCTTTTAATTACGTATTTTCTCTTTTCATATCATCACATCGAAAGGAAAACTGAATCTGTCTGTATGTTCCGATCAAGCAAAATCAAAGCAAAATATATTTTATCAAAAATCAAGTTACAACGTCGATGCAAGAGTGAAGAGAATTTTCCATAATTTCATAACAGAAGAAATGTACCATTGAAAGTACATTTTCTGTTTTTAATTATCATGATTGCCCTGTCCGAAATCCTACCTTTCAACAAGTGTACGTATGTATACCATTTACGTAACATAAAAGAAAGGAAAATTGAAACAGACCTTGAAACGATGAATTAGATTTGAGTATTCATATACTTTATTGAATATTGATCGGTCAGATAAAAAATGCTTATTCAATATTCAGTACTTCCATTTCTTTACGATAAATTCCCGTTACTTTTGCATCTACCAAGGTATTCGTTTTATTAAACAGCTGAGAAAAATTCATATCGACTTACTGTAATTGATATAAACCATTAAATATAATCCGCTTTGTAATAGATTGTGTTACATCAGCACTTTATCAGTATTTTTTTCGTTTTTTTTTTCTTTTTTAAGAACATCGAATGAATAAAAAAGAATTATAATAATAATAATTATAATTATAATAAGAAGACAGAAACGCAAGAACCTTTAAATTTTTAAAAATGGTACTACTAACGATATCTGTAGCAAAAATATACAGGCCACGTGGCTGCTTACAATATACGCTTCGCAAAAATCTTAAAAGGAAAGAAAACTTAACAGACGCGAGAGAAATGAAAGTATTTTTTCTTTTTCTTTTTTCCAACTGTTTTTTTTTTTTCTTTGACGAAGAACATAACGGATAACGACGTCGAGACAACCAACGCTCAAAGTCAGTCGGACGTGGCTGTACAAATCATTGATGCCCGCTGACAATGAGCTCATTGATTGGGTTTCTATACTTAAGACTCTAAACTTTATTACGATACTGCTCGCACGAATTTCACAAACGGTTTTTGTTTTTTTTTATCATTTTTCTTTAATTACACCACGAGAAAAGAAACTATTGACCAATAGCTAGTTCGCTTATTATTCCAATAATTGTTATTTATGAATGCATTGTACATGCGCTATTGCCAATAACATATGAACCGTTTCATCTTCGTACCGTTCTTTACTGGAAAAAACCTTACAGAGACGCATGAATTAAAAAATCAGCTGCATTATCATTTCAACAGACGTTAAGTATATTCTTCGTCGAACTTTCCTCCAGTGACGATCCATGCCCACAAACTATTCCTGCATTAAGGCGAGATGAAAGTGAACAAATTTATTCTATCATTCAAACATTTTGCCTTTTACTCATCAACTGATGGATCAAAATTTGTTACAACGTACGAAGATGAAACAAAAGGAACGGAATATGTATATTTATATACACGAATCAGAACATGTATTATGAATGCATAATATGCACGCATGTACATGTATTATGTTATGTGAGATAGATCTCTTTCTCTTTTTCTCTCTCTCCCTCTCTCTCTCTCTTTCCCTCCTCCTCGTTGTGAGTGAATGTATGTGTCTGTACCAATTGTATGTGCTTGTATGCACGTGTGTATAATGTAGTGTATATTTGTACATATAATTGAGGGAAAAGTGTAGCAATTATCGAAAAAAACAGCGAGGTTTCTTCCCCTCACAGTTTTAACAAAACAGGTCATGATAGCATACTCTAAACCTGGCGTACCTGTTGCGGAACACCCTTCATCGTATAAATAAAGGATTTCAGTATTCACTAACATGTCGATGCATTTTTCAAAATTTCTAGAAATACTTAAAGCCGCAAATAGCAAAACGTTCAATCTACAAAATATTCGCAGAAAATTTGAATTAATTTGTACGTAATTAATACATAAGAACAATTTGGAAGAAACTAAATAGCTGAAAAATACAATGGCAATTGGGCTTACAGTATGTCATCAGAGCCTCTTCTGTTAAAGGTGTGATGGACAGCAATCCCGCTGTTTCATAAGATTTACTCTATATTTCCTTCGGCTATATGTATGCATAATGTACATATGTACGTATCCGTATACGTACGTCTGTACATGTATGCGTATGTGTATGTATGTATGTATGTATGTATGTATGTATGTACGAAACGTGTCGTGTAGACGTCTGGGAGTGAAATCAAAATATCTCGAGTACAAGTACGAAAAGAATTATTTTTTAGAAATGTAAAAATTCGCTTGTTAATAAAAGTATATATGCAATAGTTTGGCCATCAATCTTGTCGTACAGCGACGATAATTTATTTACTACGGCTGTTAGCTAGGGATGATGTTATCGTGAAAAAGAACGGAAGTCCGCAACATTTTCTTTCTTTTTTTTTTGCTTTTTCTTTATAGACAGGGGAATGAGATTTGTTCAGATAGAAGAAAAATGTTTTTACGAAGAAAGACGCACGGAGATATCATAGTCTCATAAATTTCAAATACATGTGCAATAATACATGTGTATGTAATTTGCTTTTCTTTTTTAAGAAGCGTTAATTCGTTTTTGCCATCCTAATCGTGCCTTTAATGTACGTGTGTTAACTCGTTACGCCATAGCGGTTCTTTTAACTGGCCGGTGTTAACGTCTACTGTGGCACAGAGAAATTTCGACGCTCGGTCGCGCAAGTTTTACGGTTGATTACGCCATGTAAATAGAACTTCAGTTGCAAACAAATGTCATAATATGTATATATACATATACATGTATGTATATACATGCATATAGAATTATCACTAAAAGTTCGCTCGGGCATACGCCCAATGCGTAGACCAAACTTCCATATCAATCTCAAACGCATCATCACTTCGTAGACAATGTAACAAAAGTGTGTCGTTATCAAACGAGTCACACAACCAAATCTAAACCTCTCTTCTACTTTGCGTATGCCTATTGTCCGATTTGAGAAAAGAAAAGCATGAACTCCGGAGGGGAATTACGATTGAGTCATCGTCAGCACATGAATGTGTATATGTACATCTATACAACCCTTAACTATTTTATAGTCAGTTACATTAAGGAAATACGTACTACCTAATATTGCTATACGAGTTTTCTTCATGTGTAAGAATTTTCACAAAATTTAAGCATAAAAATTCTCGTTGCAGAATGCAATTTCAAATAAAATCTATAAAATAACGAACAATAGTTAAGGAATAGAAAACAAAATGCAGTCGAAATATGTACATCTACTTATTTCAATATCTAACAATACATGAAGAATATGTCGTTGAAGAAAGATGTATTGGTTAAATTTCGAAGCAAAATTAGTAATAAGTAAAAAAATGTGTCCGACCTCAATACGGTGTGGTGAAAATTACATGTAAAGAATTATAATTAGTACTCTATACTCTAAAGCCTCATTGTATGCAATATTAATTTTCTTACGATCATGCGTTATCTCAAGGTACTTTTGCAGGTAGTGATTTAGTTGTGTGCTCGTTCACATTATCTAATCATGTTATCGATGAATGAAAGCATCGAATAAATACAAACGGTAATAGCAAAACTCACTTTACCCCCAGACACATCGCTATTCTCAGATTAGATTCGTTTACTTTTTACTTCGTTTAGTATATGCATATACCCAACAAACTTACTTATGAATTGCACAGTGAATGAAAGAATTAAAATACAAGATGGAACGAATGAAAGCTCACGATGATTAAAAAAAGAAAAGAAAAAAGAAAAAACACTTAGAAAAATTTTCAATATAACTATCTAAGTTGCTAATCGTCGTGTTCCCCCCGTTGAAAGACAGGAAGCACGGATTGCGCAAACGCATCTCACAGAATGTTTTACACTGTTTCGTACGTACGTACAGTTATGCGTACTCACAAAAGGGAACTAAGATTAATGTTGCTTGGAATAATTACGATCCTTAGTAATTCCGAACGTAAGAATCAATTCCAGATAAAAACAATTATATCTCACATTCACAAATGCGACTGACGATCTCTAATCACTAATTACTGAAAAATCTATGCATACAGAATCAAACACTTCACTGTTTGCGCGGCAGCCTTCTCAGTCGTCAAAGGAATTACGCGTTAGATTAATTCAGTACCTTAAGTTACCTAGTTAATGTTGTGGTTTGTGTATCAAATCATTATCGTAACAATTATTTTGTTGGGCACACACCGAATTAAAGTCTCAGCTGTAAGCACGCGTCAAACTTTGCTTTTCCAGTGATTCATATTCATTAGCCATCCTCTTTTGGAGGGGTGAACCAACCTGCGAGAGGATAGTTAAGTATTACTACATTAAAAAAATTAATTATTAAAGGTATGCGAGAAGCTGGAAACGTCAAATCGGATCGGATCGAGAATTTTTCTCGGGATAATAAGGACGACTCGAGAATAAGGATAACGTCTTACCATTCTTTTCATGTATTTGTACAAGAGATTTGAATGATTGTTGTGCACGTGCTAGGCTGTATTGACCTTGTCCACAGACTTTACTAGCGCTACCGGGTGCCTGAAATTGTATGCGTGCTTTTCCCTTCACTAAGGTCGCTGAAATCTGCATGATCACTGCTTCCACTGTATAGGCTGAACTCCAACCCTGTTTCGTTAGAAGTTCCATACAAATAGCGCCTCCTATAAGAACGTATCCGCCAGAGATCATAGGATGTACAACTCTGACGAACGGTGGTTCAAACGGGTATGTTTCCTGAAAATAAAAATTCATTCTTTTTTCAATCTCATAAGCATGATCAAGATAAATAATACAGATATCTATTAAACTAAATTGATCATTTTTTACTATATCAGATTGAAAACATTAAGAGGCAATAACGATATTCTTAAAAGTGATAACAATTTATCTCTAGAACTAGTATGAATAACTTTAATTTGTATACAATTTATAACAAACATACCTTGAACAGCATGTTAAGCAGAATACTGTCTTTGCCTTCCTTTTCTTTCAAAAGTATAAGATCGCTGTGTAGAGGTGAATCAGGATCAACATACATCAGCCTGACATTCCATTCATACAAACTGTCATTTACTAATTCTATGCTGTACATCCCTGCAATGAGTCCATGCAAATATCAACATAAATATGATTAATAAGTATCACAAGTTTAACAAACTTCAGACAATTATGTATTACCTTTTTTAAAACTGTCACTTCGATAAATATCCCGCAATTCTTTCATCAGTCTATCTGTGGCCTGCACACTGCCACAGACAGATCCCTTTAAGTAATCTTGTCTTTGATTCTGTCTCAACCTTTCTAATGTCGCAAGATGTTCTAACTCTATTTCTTCACCCTTAAAAATGTAGTAAAGCAAATTTTTAAATATCGAATGTAAAAACAATTTGTACGTTCTTTATGGCGCACTGTTTACCTTGTTCTTCGCGTTGGCGTCTCCTTCGTCCATATCTAAGTGGAGATCTTCCTCAGCATCGCTTTCTTCGTCGTCGTCAATATCCTCAGCATCTTCAGCTTCCATCCTTTGCGCAGCAGCTTCGTTTGATGCTCCTAAGCGCAAGGGGTCCAATGCTGTCCTTAGCCGCTCAACGTCTGGTGGTTCAGGTAATGAATGAAGTCTACATAATTCTTTTAAGAGAATCCCAACTTGATTAATGACGTGGTTGTCACGGCCTGTAGTAGTGCTCAAAATTTGTACTGCATTCGTAACACTTGTTTCCTCTGATTCTGCAAACCATACTGGTGGTGTAGAAGGATAAGTTTCCTGCAACATTCATTAACATTCATCTAATTAATAAACAGAGAAAAATGAAAACAGTTAAGTTTATTCATTTTCATTTATATAACATTTAACGATATAATTATAAAGTTTACTAAGCATATGTTATAATATACTACACTTTTTATAGAATGTTTACAACCTTACACAAGCAAATCTATGAAAATCTTTATTTATAGTAATAGTATCTGTGTTTTATTTCTAACAGGATCCATTATTTATTGAAATCAGATAGACGTAAAGCAGTCGTACATGAATATTTATATTAACCCTTATCACCGAGGAAATACTGCTTTTACTGTACACGCTTTATCTAGATTCCTTGAGATACATATTTATTATTGGATTTTGAGACAATCGGCATGAACAGTAAATGTTAAATACAAAATTTCGATTTTTAATATATAAAAGAACGATTCCTAATTATAAAGAAATTTATGAAATGTTAATTTAGTAATTAAATTCAATCATAGTAGGAAAGTTAGGAAAATATATAAATGTATTTCAAGATTCAGTCGTCAACAATACATTACAAAAAAATAAACTTATTTTGAAGAATAAAGTAATTAGGACAATTTAAAAATCACGAATGAAGCACGCATTTACTATAAAAATAAATCGATGGTGACTGTACAATGATGATAATTCACATAGTAAGACATTAAACAGTAAATGCACGACGAATATTTATCACGAATGCATACACGATATTTAAATATGGATTTATCAGCAATTGCAATTGGCTCGGCGTCGATGCCATGACGTTTCATACGTACGCGTAACACGAATCGTAAATTAATTAGCAACTTGAAACTGTGATTGCATCCGAAAGTAGAAATGAGCAAGAGGCACTAAATCTTTATGAACGAACAAAATAAAACGTGGCGAATTTTTTAGCACGATGTTCCACTAGTACGTGAATATAAAATTTAACTGTTCACAGTTGGAACATTGCGTAATAATTATATTTACAAATTGACATTTATAAAGATGATCATCATAAATTGCAACGTATGATTATAACAATTTGCTTGACAAAGCAAACAAAAGAAACATACTTTAAATGCCTATGATTAACTTTTGTGTACACAATCTGATAATAAATCCACACCTAGATCATAAATCACTCGTGAATTAACAACTTCGATCTTAAATAACGCAGAATACCATCGTAACAATGAAATATAATTGATTCATTTTCAAAGCTTGTATGTCGAATGAAAAATAAACTTAGCAACATCAAAATGAAATAATTTCGTAACGAAGCAAAACGGTAAGAGCAACATAAATAGATATATACATTATTATCTAGTTTATCTAAAAATATTAACTGGTACGCGAATTTAGTGAGTTTGGTTGCACAGACAAGCGGGATATAATTATATGACAGTTATTACAAATAGACAATTTGTTTTCTCACAAATATGCGGATGAATACAATGAATACTATTATGAGGGGCTTACCCTCTATGTATGACCGTATTGTGACCTTTACCGTAATATTAATTCGTTTAAAAATCTCCACGGAAACTGGCCGGTTCAGCTGAGAAAGGATCGATCGTAACCACAACAAAATTTATGGAGGTAACGAGTACCAGTAAACGAAATAAGACGCGTACAGAGGACATGGTATACGTGCTCCCGGGCATGGCTCTTGTCAAAAGCCCCAAATAACAACATGAGTGTTATTGTTTCTTTGTCCGATTGGTCGCAGGTAGCGATGAAAGTTAAATACGGTCCCGTGTGAACTGGCGACGGCCCCGGAACAATTTACTGTATCAAATTGTATCCATGCTTGTCACACTTACTGTAATATTGGCGTGTATTTCGTATTTCTTCCCATTTTTACCGACGAACCTGCAGCTGAGTTCGTCCACACTCGCAGACATTATCTGAAATCTCTCATGGCTCTTAGGGAAGACGGACTCAAGAGTTTTGATCTCCTGCTTAAGTGTGTTCAAACAAGCCATTTGGGGTAGCGAACGAACGTGCCGGACCCCAAATTTTTCGGCGATGCTTGTTCAAAAATTTACAGCAACCCGAAAGATACACGACGTTCCCGATGACTACCCGACAAAATGGCGACCGCGACTGGCCACTTCGGCCAATCCCGTGCGATTTCGCTCACCTTCGTTGCAGATGTCACCACCGTGTCATTCAAACGTTGATGACAGTTGATGACGTCCTTCCGGTACAGCTGAGTTCTGGTTTCGTTCTCAACATTTAAAAACGAAACTTAAATTAAAACAGAAGTTAACGCACGTCTTCAACATTAAATTATTTTGAACCTTCATCTTAATAATTTTTACTATCTACACTTTGTATTATATTCTCCTAAGAGCAGAATTGTATACTTGATACTTTCATTGAGTTTTTATCAAGTCTCAAAAAGACAGCTTGGTCGCAACTGTCTTACTAATTATAAGTCCTAAATTATTAGACTTTGACCACATAAAATGTTAATTTAGGATAGTGAGAAAAATTTATTCAAAAACTCATAATAATTGCTTTTTTAGTGTTAAACATCCAATAATGCTGCTAACTGAAAACTCAAATGTATCTATAAAAATTAAATCCTTATATTTATTGCAAATGTCGACAAAGCTTGCTCGTCATAATTATTATAAAATAATCAACACTTGTTAATTGTATCATGAATTTATTTGAAATTTCTAGTATCTCTAAGACTTATGATCTATATTTACAGATGATAGTGTGTGTGTAATAAAGCATAATACACGCATTACTTTAACATGTGTTAACAAATAAATGCTATAATCTAACATACTAAAAAATAATTATTTACTAATTTTTGGACTGGGCCCACAAACTTCTTGGTTTTCCCTTCTTTCATTCAAAATATAATACGTGTTTATATTAAGAATTTACAGGTACCCAAAAATTCCTGCCGGACTCGGTTTGCGAATTCTGTTCGCGAAAGTTTGTTGAGCACTAAAATTTGTTCAGTTGTAATTTCTGGGCACGAATATCAACTCGAGACCCAAACTCGACTTGCGGTTCAAAACTGAATTCAATGCCGAGGACCATGACAAATGAAAAACAGATTTGAAGGACAAGGTCTGTTTGAAAAATTTATGAATGTAATTCAATTTCAAGTACCGAGTTGAATACGGACTCCGCAATTACGGGTACCCAAACAGATTTATGAGCTGACCAAATTTTCGGTTTAAGCCGACCCGATCCATGGCTCAGGTACCCGAAATTTTCAGGTACCCGCACAACCCCTATTTTAAATGCTCTTCGTTATGTCACGAAACAATTAATAACATATACGTAACAGTAAGTTTTTCTATCGAAAATAATTGAAGAAATTCTTCCAACTTGTTCAATAATTTTATTATTCGTGTGCCCTCCATTAGTATACATTTTCCATAACACGTGATTTATGCTTTTTGTATAATCATCCACATACGTACATAAGAAAATGTAATTATTTAACAACGTATGTACAATGTAACGCAAAGATAACATATCAACGATATTAGAGATGTTGATATTTTACTACATTAATTAAATAAAATAAAATATGTACAGTATGGTACACTTCCCTTGGAACCAAGACGACTTAAAACACTATGATAATCGCATATCTCTTTCTAACTCTGTTTAAGAAAATATAAAAATTAAGATCTGGCACGGTACAAAATAATAAATATTATTTTACATGAATACTTTTTGCGTATGAATTTCTTAGTTATTTTATTTATTTTTTTCACTTAACATTGGCAAAGGATAGACACCAGTCCGTGATACGTAGTCTTTTCAATGGCAATAGAATTTATGAAGTTATGACATGATTAAATGTAATTTATAAATAACAAAATATACAATTTTCACCGTAACAGGATGCCTAAGCCTTTCTCTTATATGAAACCCATGATGGTCAACGTTACTTTGTTACTAAACTTATCTTCGTACGTATACATATACATATATATAATATATATATACACGTCAGTTTTGCATATACATACATATTTCGTTTTTTGTTTTATGTAATAGTAGTAGTGAATATGAAAATTAATCAGTCAATAATACTAAATTAAGCCTCTTTCTCGGAGAACTGGACCAGCTGAGACTTATACGCCTCCCATAAAATATTTAGTTTTTCTCACTTGTATAATTTACTATTCTTTTCAAGTTCAACTGAAAATCAGATATCTTCGTGAACGTTTACGTATAAGAAATTATATTAAACTCTGTTAAATTATACTACATCAATTTAGCTTTGTACCTATATGAGGATTAAACCGGAAGACAATCTCAGGCGGATTTTGTAAATTTTGCCATGTCAAGATATTTTTGTTCATCTTTTTGTCCTTCAAAGTATTCGCAAACTTGTTACCATTTTCTTGTCATATAACTGTATAGACAGACATTTCATATCAACAAGCACATGAGATATGCTTTAACAAATAATCATTAAATGTTAGAACTGGTAGTTAGGTAATAAAGAAAGCTTAATAACTTTCTTTTATCTTCATAAGGATAAACTGAAATTTAATTTTCCATGCCATAGACATCCCAATCGTAAAACGATAAAAATAGTAGGTGTATTTTATTAACGGAATTAAAGAGAATATTGTGACTTGGATATCCATCATTTTATTCGCATTTTAAATAGCTGTAAAAACCACGCAATTACTGATAACACATATCTCATCGACTGTTAATACTTTTAATAGTATCCTAAACTGCGTTTGTGTTTTATTGACTTAGACAGTTTAGACACTGACAACCTCGAATCAAGGTTATCTGCATCGCTGTGTACGGTGTATCGTAGAGAAGAGAGTTTTAGAAAATAGTATTTCTCAACATTCAAAACCTAGAATGTTTCTGTTCTTAATGAGTCTCGTTCAACTCGCGTCAATTCGTATTAAATCGTTTGCTGTGATTTAATAACAGTTTTAAATTATTTTTCTGCAGTTATCAGGATACATATTAGTAATAGCTAGGAACTTGAAGAAGCATTACTCCCCATCTCTTTAAATATACAAATGCCAAAACCTTTTGATATCCGTCCAACATGCGCGCGACATAGTTAAATCTTGAACAACACACCTACAGGATTTTGTATTTTTTAACGAATGATCATCGATTCTTCATTTCTTTCTCCGATTACATCGATATTAGAACTTTCATTTTATTTACAAAGAAATACCATATGTAATTGAAGCGGAGGTAGAAAAACAAATAAATGCTATAATCTAACATACTAAAAAATAATTATTTACTAATTTTTGGACTGGGCCCACAAACTTCTTGGTTTTCCCTTCTTTCATTCAAAATATAATACGTGTTTATATTAAGAATTTACAGGTACCCAAAAATTCCTGCCGGACTCGGTTTGCGAATTCTGTTCGCGAAAGTTTGTTGAGCACTAAAATTTGTTCAGTTGTAATTTCTGGGCACGAATATCAACTCGAGACCCAAACTCGACTTGCGGTTCAAAACTGAATTCAATGCCGAGGACCATGACAAATGAAAAACAGATTTGAAGGACAAGGTCTGTTTGAAAAATTTATGAATGTAATTCAATTTCAAGTACCGAGTTGAATACGGACTCCGCAATTACGGGTACCCAAACAGATTTATGAGCTGACCAAATTTTCGGTTTAAGCCGACCCGATCCATGGCTCAGGTACCCGAAATTTTCAGGTACCCGCACAACCCCTATTTTAAATGCTCTTCGTTATGTCACGAAACAATTAATAACATATACGTAACAGTAAGTTTTTCTATCGAAAATAATTGAAGAAATTCTTCCAACTTGTTCAATAATTTTATTATTCGTGTGCCCTCCATTAGTATACATTTTCCATAACACGTGATTTATGCTTTTTGTATAATCATCCACATACGTACATAAGAAAATGTAATTATTTAACAACGTATGTACAATGTAACGCAAAGATAACATATCAACGATATTAGAGATGTTGATATTTTACTACATTAATTAAATAAAATAAAATATGTACAGTATGGTACACTTCCCTTGGAACCAAGACGACTTAAAACACTATGATAATCGCATATCTCTTTCTAACTCTGTTTAAGAAAATATAAAAATTAAGATCTGGCACGGTACAAAATAATAAATATTATTTTACATGAATACTTTTTGCGTATGAATTTCTTAGTTATTTTATTTATTTTTTTCACTTAACATTGGCAAAGGATAGACACCAGTCCGTGATACGTAGTCTTTTCAATGGCAATAGAATTTATGAAGTTATGACATGATTAAATGTAATTTATAAATAACAAAATATACAATTTTCACCGTAACAGGATGCCTAAGCCTTTCTCTTATATGAAACCCATGATGGTCAACGTTACTTTGTTACTAAACTTATCTTCGTACGTATACATATACATATATATAATATATATATACACGTCAGTTTTGCATATACATACATATTTCGTTTTTTGTTTTATGTAATAGTAGTAGTGAATATGAAAATTAATCAGTCAATAATACTAAATTAAGCCTCTTTCTCGGAGAACTGGACCAGCTGAGACTTATACGCCTCCCATAAAATATTTAGTTTTTCTCACTTGTATAATTTACTATTCTTTTCAAGTTCAACTGAAAATCAGATATCTTCGTGAACGTTTACGTATAAGAAATTATATTAAACTCTGTTAAATTATACTACATCAATTTAGCTTTGTACCTATATGAGGATTAAACCGGAAGACAATCTCAGGCGGATTTTGTAAATTTTGCCATGTCAAGATATTTTTGTTCATCTTTTTGTCCTTCAAAGTATTCGCAAACTTGTTACCATTTTCTTGTCATATAACTGTATAGACAGACATTTCATATCAACAAGCACATGAGATATGCTTTAACAAATAATCATTAAATGTTAGAACTGGTAGTTAGGTAATAAAGAAAGCTTAATAACTTTCTTTTATCTTCATAAGGATAAACTGAAATTTAATTTTCCATGCCATAGACATCCCAATCGTAAAACGATAAAAATAGTAGGTGTATTTTATTAACGGAATTAAAGAGAATATTGTGACTTGGATATCCATCATTTTATTCGCATTTTAAATAGCTGTAAAAACCACGCAATTACTGATAACACATATCTCATCGACTGTTAATACTTTTAATAGTATCCTAAACTGCGTTTGTGTTTTATTGACTTAGACAGTTTAGACACTGACAACCTCGAATCAAGGTTATCTGCATCGCTGTGTACGGTGTATCGTAGAGAAGAGAGTTTTAGAAAATAGTATTTCTCAACATTCAAAACCTAGAATGTTTCTGTTCTTAATGAGTCTCGTTCAACTCGCGTCAATTCGTATTAAATCGTTTGCTGTGATTTAATAACAGTTTTAAATTATTTTTCTGCAGTTATCAGGATACATATTAGTAATAGCTAGGAACTTGAAGAAGCATTACTCCCCATCTCTTTAAATATACAAATGCCAAAACCTTTTGATATCCGTCCAACATGCGCGCGACATAGTTAAATCTTGAACAACACACCTACAGGATTTTGTATTTTTTAACGAATGATCATCGATTCTTCATTTCTTTCTCCGATTACATCGATATTAGAACTTTCATTTTATTTACAAAGAAATACCATATGTAATTGAAGCGGAGGTAGAAAAATAAAATAAAATAAAAAAGAAAAACTAGGAATGACATTGATACTTATGATATTTATGGTATTTGTCGCTTTGTCGACAACTAGATCTTAAACGAGAATTTAAAAAGAAACCTGTTAATAATTGTTATATATAAAAGCATACGCAAGTTGCTAAACTATGCAACAGTAATTTTATACATTTTTAATTTTTATTTACAAGCGTAATCTTTATCAACAGATACACTTTGGAGAAAGAAATAGTTCACATCAGTGTCATAGATTTCGTGTATTATAAAAGGTAATTTTCAGTTATGTGCACTCTTAGTAGCACATTACGTCAATATAGATTTGTTTTTTTAGAGCACATTAATGCTTGTTCGAATACAAGTCAATTTTCTCAGCTTTTTTGTTTTAAATTGCTGAGTGGTAATAGTCGTAAGTAGGCCAGTAAGGCTGTAGCCAGTCCTAGCTGGTGCGTTGACGCTTTTTGGCGGGGTGTTCCTCGGAGGAGTGTGCAGGCGCAGGCATTCCCATTTCACTACCTCTATTAAACATGTATTTCAATTGAGGCATGAATTTCATTATACTCTTTACTTGTATTAACGGTAACTCTTCGTTCAAAGACGAACACTTTCCTGCTTCCATTAACATCTTCATTTGTAGCCTTTAAGAAAAAGTAATTAAAAGTAGTTTCGGTCGCCTATAATATCACATTAATATTCATTCTACATGGGACGCCCTAAAGCAAAAGAAGATGATACATGCATGTGTGGTATTTGCAGAATTCATGCTCTGTGTAGAACCAAGTGCGTTTCGCAAAATGTAGTGATATAATATTTTGCCTTACCTATTTCCTTGATAAAGGTCTATGTGCAAAACGTCCGTGAGAACATGCCGACAACTATTGATGTCGCAAGAAGGGAAATACTGAGCAACGAAGTCAGGGAGTGTCATCAATAATTCAGAGTACACGTATGGCTTGAAATTAATACAAGGTACCATTTTATCTTCAACTAGAGCTTTTTGAATTTGATAAGGTTGAACTTGACAGGTTGTCATATGCGTTTCCGATATTGGTATTAACGGTTTTCTGCCCCTTGAATCCCTAAAAGAAAAGATATTAATACAATCACGACAGTAATTTATTTACTTTTTTATTTTAGCACGATTTTTATTGTAAACATACAATAGAACCTTCATATATTAAATTTTTATAATTGCATTCTACTTGTTTCTTACAAACACGATCCAATATAATATATGTTTTTACATAAATATTTTTCATTGCTTGATGATTACAGTTCAAACCAAAATGCAGTGTCACATCATGCATAATTTATTAATCAAATTTTGTTTGACACATGTACACAAATGGAGAAAGTTGTACAATTCAAGTTGCTACCATTATCAGATTTAGGTATTTATGACATATTGTCGAATGTACACCTGACCCTCCTTTTACACAATACCGAGTACAAGAAAGTCGTGTAAAAAAGAAGTCATGCAGGTACTGATTAACAAAACTCTGAATAAAGCGTGTTAAGGGAAAATAACATGTAAAAAGGAGGATCAGGTGTACGATGTCATGTTACACAGACAGAGTTCTACTACATTTTAAAAATTGATGATTTCATAAAGAAAATAAGTTATACGAGAAAACGGGTAACGTCCTACCTGGAGCTGTTATTGCTACCATTAACTGGTATTAATGGTGGTGGATATTTTGTGTGAGATGTATTATGCACGGATGGTGTATGCCTTTGCGGATGTAACAAGCTAGATACCGAAGTGGGTGACGGCATCAGTGCTTGTACTTGTTCACTTAAACCAAGCATTTGAGGGTACGTACTTGCTGTGACAGCATTAGGTACACCCAAAGAAGGTGTAGTATACGTTGACGTAACCCTTAAAGTAGAAAAAATTTTACATTAAATCTCGAAACAAATAAATATGTACATTTAATTGTAATTGTATGATATGCTTGAGGTATAGAACTTAATGAAATTAATATAAATACTATACAGATGATCTACACGTTGTTGAGCAGTTTGAAAAGCTTTTAAGTATACATACCAGTAGAGAAGAACATGACTATGAATATATGTACATGAGATATTAATCAATATTGATATGTGTATAATTCAATTCCCTACAAAATGTATATGCTAACTTATTATAGTTATAGTATAAATTCAAGAACAGTGGCAACACGTTGTACATTTCCACGATTTTCAACATTTTTTATTATGTACTACATTAATAACGTTTTAAGAAATAAAATATAATTTTAATTCAAGTCGGAGTCGCAATGAAAAATAAATGATGGATTACTAAAATTAAAGCATGACATAAAAAAATTATATATACACGATGTTCGGCTTCTGGTAGAATTTTAAGGGATAATCCTAGAAGCTAAAAGTCAAGAATAAAAAAGTTGTATCCAGAGTTCCATCTTTTACTTATAAATGATTAAAAATAACATCTAATGGTAGATCAACTTGGCTACCACGTGTGGTTCTCAGGGCCGATGTTCTTTTACCTGCTAGCGGTTTCCATTATGTTGGACAGGTTGCATTGTATTTTAGGGATTATTGCCAATCCGAGGACCATCAAGGACGTCAAAGTACAATGTGCCCAACGTAACGGCAACTGCTATGAAGTATATTAGCATTTGGACACATAGAGGCAGTTCTATCTGAGACCTAATGCTACCAGGAGTAACTTTTAATTGCTTATAAGTAAAAAGTGGAGCTCCGAAGAAATTCTGTTTTTATCTTCTATAATCATCTCTCAAAATTTTGCTTACCATTAGCCGAACGCTTTGTGTACGCGAGTAACAATATCAAAACATAATTACTTAAATTTCTTGTATGTACCAATATTTTATTCAGTAGAATTTTTGAAGAAGAGGATTGAACAGAATATAATTTAAAAATGACTAAAATAAAAGTATATAAGTAAATACAAAGCAATTTTGTGTTTAGTAAAGAAAAGAAATAGAAACATTAGAGATATAAGTATTGTTTGAAGGCGCAACACAAGCAATGTGTAGTTATTATAGTTTGATATTATAAACCAAGAACTTGTTAATTATAATATTTTTGTGCATGCTATCTTACTTTTCTGTAGTAATCATGACTATAGTACATTTTACAGGGACTCACCAGTCATCCTTCCCATAGGTTGGATAACTATACAAAAAAATCATACGTTGTATGTACAAATGCAGAAAGCTATAGTGCAGGTTTTCCACATAATAAGAAATAATAATTCTTTTTGCGGGCAAAAATATAATTTCAAATAAAAATTTAAGTAGTTCTCTAAAATTTGACGGTGCATGCTTATTTTACTCTAGTATACGTTTTATTAAAGTCACTTTTTAAGTATAGCTAGTTTAAACTTTCAATGTGCATTTATAAACTATATACAATGTGAGTAATAATCGTACAATGAATATAACACAC